ATCCCAACTGCAGCAGAGCGAAGCATACTTGCCGAGTGTGTGGGCAGCATGGCATGCTCTTTACTCTGTGCTGCCTGCCCCGCCCTGCAGTGCGCTCGTCTGCTGGCGGCAGCAGCAGTGCCCCGCCCAGCAGCATCCCAGCGGTGTCTGTGGTGGCGGCAGCGCAGGTGGCGGCCGCGGCGCTGGCAGGCGGCGGCAGCAGCGGCGGCGCGGCCTCCGGCAGCGGCCTGTCTGTTGATCAGAAGAGGAAGCTTCTGTGGGGAGGCAAGAAGAAGGAGGCAACAATTGTAGGGGCTGGAGTGGCGGCGGGTCCAGCCGGCGGCGAAGCCGGGGCAGCGGCGGCTGGGGCATCCGTGGCAGCGCGTGGGGTGGCTGCCGGGCCTGCGGCGCCGCCCTCTGCCGTGGTGTTTGGTCGCAACCGCTGGGACCAGGCTGAGTTTGGCAGCGAGCAGGAGAAGCTGAAGTTCATCAAGCTCATGGTGCGTAACGATAATGAATGAAACCTGCGCACGGTTGGCAAGCAGGGCGCTGATGGATAGCAGAGGGCAAACTTGACCTGCGCTTTCTTTTTGCCTGCCAACACGAGGAGGGCCTGCCAACACGCTGCTGGCTGCTTGCCTGCAGGGTGGCAAGGCGGCAGCGGAGACGCTGCAGCAGACTGGCGGCAGCCCTGCGGCTGCTCAGCCCGTGTACGGCCCTGCCCTGCCGGGACAGGCGGAGGCAGTCGGGGCAGAGCCAGGGGCTGCAGCGGCGGCGGGCGAGGAGGCAGCAGCGCCGTCGATTATGAAGCGTGAGGGTCAGGCGCAGGTCCTGCGTGACCTGGAGCGAGGGTACCAAGAAGGTTTGCGCCGCCAGATGCAGTCTGGCAGGACGGTTGGCCTGGGGCTGTGACGCTGCTGCCCTCCCCCATGCCAGCCGGCAAGTGGGCGTACAATTTACTGTGCTGTTGGTGGCTGTGACTGAGAGCATTGCCCGTGTAAAGATGCGACAATTGAAGCGGTTGGCAGCAAGCTGCACGTGCAGCTCTGACGGGCAATACAGGCAGTATTACGGGAATAAAACGGGAAGGGGGCGTACCGCAAGCAGCGATTGAAAATTGCACAGTTAATATTGAGACTGGAATTGCACAGGCAAAAGAATGGGAAACAGAGTGTGAGACAGTGGGAAACGAAGCTGCTATCATGGCCAGCCATGAATGGCCTGCTTTCAATGATATGCAGTACGACAGCATCGCTGCTGAGAAGGCCCGTAATGCAGAACGACAGCATCGCTGCTGAGCGTGCCCGTGCTTTACGAGAAGAGCAGAGCACCATGGAAAAATTGCCGTACTTTGCACACTTGGATCAAGGGGCAATGAGCTCCAGGGCAGCCCAGACTAGCGCGCCCGTCAGCCCCAGCAGCAGCAGCCCCTGGCCCAGGGTGCCCACCAGCAGAGCCGCCGCAACCTGCCGCCGATGGCGGCGTGAGGCTGCCCCGCGGCAACCATCGGGGTCGCTGAGCTGGCTGCTGCTGCCACTGCTGTCCCTGCTGCCCTCGGCAGATGGGCTGGCTGCCGCTGCCTGCCCCTCCTGGCTCCTCTGGCGACGGTTGGCTGCCACGGGGCGCCTGCTGCTGGATGGCTCCTCGTGCTCCTGCTGCGCCTCGGGCTGCCGCTTTGGCTCCTCATGCCGCGGGTCATCCAACAGCGGGGTCTGCCGCAGCTGGCGAGGATACTTCCACGCGCCAATTTGCGCCACGGTGGGAAGCACAAAGCCGACCATGGCAGCCACCCAGGTGTGCAGCATCCAGCAGCACTGCGTCGGCTGCGGCATCAGCGGCAGCTCCGCCGGCGTGCCAGGCACCGCGATGGGCATTGCCAGCCGCGCGTAGCGCACAAAGGAAGTGCACTGGGTGGCCCCGCCTGGCAGCAGGGCGTGCTGCACAGACAGCTGCTGCAGGCGGGGGAGCGCCATGCGCAGCGATAGGGCCTGCACCAACAAGAGGCGCTCCAGGGGGAGTGGGAGCAGCAGCGCGAGGATGAGCAGGAAGAGTGCCTGCATGCATGAATGGGACCGTGGGGACAATAAGGGTGAAGCTGGTTTTGGGAGTTCGCAGCTGTTAACCCCTTTAAGAGGCCGCACTAGGACCAGCAAAAAGCAGAGGCAGCAACAATGGGCAGGCAGGGAAGCTGACGGGGCACGGGCGCGAGGCGCCGGCATGAGGCCGGCTTGGGCGATCGCACCAGCTGCCGGCAGGCTGAAACAGCAGGGGATTGCCCATCTGCTCACCTCACTGCTGACAAGTGGGTTGACAGCCCTGAACATCAGCGGCCAGACTGCCGTGATCTGCACGGGCGCCCACGCCGCTGCCAGCGCCGTCGCGGCGAGGCGCAGCGCTGCGGCCAGCCAGGGGTGCCGCCAAGCCCAAGGCCGCGACTGGCGCAGGAGAAGCGTGCATCCCAGAATGAACAGGGCCTCCAGCTCTACACCCAGCAGCAGCTCTATATGCTGAAAAGCTGCTTCTTCCTGGGCAAAGGCAGCGCCGTCGCTATTGAGAAGCACGGCCCCCACCGTCGCCGCCGCCGCCATCAAGCTTCCCCCACCGCGACCCCAGCGCAGCGACGCCTTGAATTCCTTCTGTGGTGCAGGCGGCACTCTGCAGGGTGACGGGGGCGGGAGACCTCAACAGAAGTGAGATAGGGACACCCTCTCGCTCGTGGAGCCGGAGCACGCGTGGCCGCCGCGTTTTGGGTGCTCCTTCAGGCGTGCGTGGGTTGGTACAGGGTCTCTCACCGTGTATCCGCGCCGCCCCGAGTACTGGGATCGGTGATTGGCCCGCGAAGACTGCGGCACCGGGCTACCACAAGAGCAGCACGAGTTGTCGACAGCACAGGGCCACCTGTCCATGCATTACTCAATGGCTCTTCATGACCACACCGCTTATTACGGGTCGGCAAGGGTCAGACGGGGCGCAGTGCAAACGGTACGTTTGCACCGGCCGAGTTTATTGCAACGGTCAGGGCTTGCAGGGCATGCAAAAGTGCCAGAGCTGTACAATGAATGGTCTGGATGGCGGCAGCGTCGCCCTCCCGAGCCTGCAGCCACCCCACACGTGCCAGCAAGGGCTGCTGTAAGCGGGTGCTTAGATCGCTGCCTATAACTCTCCAGAGGAGATGGAAGCTGCCAAACGTCATCATCCCATGGCAATATGCCTGCCTCAGCCGTATTAAGTCGCGCCTGACATGTACCGCTGCAAGCTGCAAGTACACCTCACTGCGGTCGCCGGTGTGCTGCACATCGCCAAAACTGCTTCTCTACCAAAGAAACATGCTCCACATACGGCCTCCAGGGGCTGTGCACGGCTGCCGCTGCGCTGCCACGCAATTGCGCTGCCGCCGACCTGGCCGCCGCCCCGCCATGCCATTGCAATGGGTGCGCATCACCCGGCGCAGCTGCCACCCCCTCCCTGGAGCTGCTGCTTTGCCTCCTCCAGGCCCCGCTCCAGCCCTGCAAGCAACAGAACCGGAAAAAATGGGCGCAGTATCGCCTGCAGTTTGCTGGGCCGCTGCGGCGTCGCTGCTCCGCGTGCCCCACATGGAGCGGCCGGCAGGCAGCTGGAATGCGCACCTGACACGCGCTGCTCCAGCACAGCCAGAGACGAGTCCAGGCCGTCCAGTGCGCCATCCAGCTCCGCGCCGGCAGCCGCCGCCCGGCCCTGCGGCGCAGGCGGCAGCCGAGCGTGAGGCACAGGGGGCGCTGGGGGCGCACTAGTGTTGCCGCTGCCGCTGCCCCCTTGCTTCCTCCACTGCCGGCCCTACCTGCAGGTCGTGCAGGCTGGAGGCGAGGTCGGCCACCTGCTCCTGCACCGAGGCCACAGCCAGCTGGGCAGACCTTGCGGCCGCGCCAGTCTCAGCGGCCTCTGCCAGAAGTGCCTCCGCCTCACGCATGGCAGCCGCCAGGTCGCCGGCGGCAGCCCCGGCGCCCGCCCCTTCTGCAGACAGCTCGGCGACTGCCGCCAGCTTGGCGCCCGCCAGCTCAGCCAGCGCAGCTGCAGAGGCGGCAGCCAGGGCGTCGGCGGCTCGACCCTGGGCGTCTGACAGGCTGCCGGCCGCAGCGGCCTGCGCAGCTGCCACCTGCTGCAGGCTGCCTGCCAGCACCTCGCCAAGCTCTGCCACGCACGCGTCCCTGACAGCTGCCACCTCCTCGACAGCAGCAGCCCCCTGGCTGGCGGCAAAGGCTTCCAGGCGGGCCGCAGCAGAGGCCTGCGCCTCTGCCAGCTCCTGCCTGGCACCCTTCACCTGCCCTGCCAGCTCCTCGCCCGCCGCCGCCTGCCTGGCTGCCAGCTCCTCGCCCGCCGCCGCCTGCGCCGCCCTCAGGTGCCCCTCGGCGCCCTGCCCCACCAGCTGCAGCCAGCCCGCGGCAGCCTCCAGGCTGGAGCTGGAGGCCTGCTCAGCAGCCGCCAGCTGGCGCTCCGCCGACAGCTTCCAGTCGGCGATCCGCCAGGTGGCCTCCCGCAGCTGCTCCCTCAGCCACGCCTCAGAAGACGCCGCAGCACCAGCAGGTCTGCCGCCACATCAGCGCCGGCCTCTGCCAGCTCAGCCCTGGCTGCTGCCACCTCGCCCGCCAGGCTGGCAGAGCGCAGGCCGCTCAGAACCAGCGCGGCGCCCGTCAGGCACAGCAGCAGCAGCAGCGCGAGGGCCGCGGTCAGCACAGCGCGGTGTACCCCGGCGCCTGCTCCTGCGCTGGTCTGTGGAGTGCCATGCATCTGCTGGCTGGTGGGCCACCTGCCGGCTGCCGTGCCTCTGTCTGCTGCGCAGGGCGAAGCCGCGCGGGAGCCACCGTCGGCAGCGCAGGCGGCAGGGCCTGCTGCCGCGCCGCCAGCGCGGTGGTGCGGCAGCGCAGCTCCCTGCGGGCCCGCAGCCAGCAGGCGCCGGGTGCGGTAGGCGGCATATCGCTGCTCTGTGGCATCCTTGAGGGCGGGACCTGCCGAGGACAGCAGCAGGCGCAGCGCGCGCACGTCTGCAGAGGAAGGGCCCAGCCAGATGGCGAGGGTGTGAGTGCGGATAGCTCCAGCCTGGGCTCGCTGCAAGCCAGGCTCTGGATCTCTTGGGAGCCAGCACGCACGACTCTCGCTGGCAAGCTCAGCACACCCGACTGGGGAGACGCCAGCGTCTCGCAGGCCCCCCACTGGTAGCGCCGCACAGGCCAGAAGCTGCAGCCAGGCAGCAAACGCGGGGTAGGGGCAGCGGCTGAAGGCGGTAGGGAAGCAGCTGGGTAGGAGAGGGTGGTATAAAGGAGCGGTGTGCTCAGGAGCGGCGGCGCTCACCTGCCGACGCTGCCGTCCATCTCGCAACGGCGGCAGCAGGCAGGCGGTCAGATCCCAGCCCTGCCGCCTCGGCCTCGCCTGCAAGGCACGCAACGCCAGCAGTTTGGCCGTTCAGTGCAAGCGGAGGCGTGGCCGGCTGGAAAGTGCCTGTGCTTCCTTGCAGGCGTGCCTCCTGGCTCTGCAGCTGGCTGGCTCACCGCGCAGCAGCCCGCTCCCTGCCCCAGCGCCGTCGGAGCGGTACAGGGCCGGCCCCCGCTGGTCCAGAGCCTCACGCACTGCGGTGCGCTGCGCCTGCAGCTCGGCGGGGGTGCAGCTGTCTGCCTTGCAGATGACTGCACACATGGGAGCAGCGGGCGCCGAGTGGCTCAGTGGGATGAAGGGGCATGTGCCAAGCTGCGATGGCCTGCCAAGAAAGGAAAAGAGCGTGGCTGGCGAGGCTTGGGCATACCTGGGATCACCGGCAGCAGCTTGGATAGAGTCTTGGCTGCCAGGATGTGGCGGGGGCACAGCCTGCACACATCAGCGGCAGTGTGCTCTGCCGGCCAGGGTTTAAGGCAGCGCGCAGTGCAGGCGGTATGTTTTTGGGGGAGGTGCCTCTGCATGGCACGGGGAACAGGATGCATGCTGGCACGGCGCTGCCAGGCGCAGACCCACCTGTGCGGAGGCAACAGCAGCAGGCACGCGTCGGTGCGGCGGTCGAATGCCTGCTGGTGCAGGGGCTGCGTGCGGTGCGGGTCTGCAAGGAGAGACGAGGAAAGCGGGTAGAGCGCAGGAAGCAAATTCAGCAGCAACGAGAGGTGCCCCTCCCCCTCATCCCACCCCAACCCGCTCACTCTGCTCCTCCTCAAAGTGCTGCCCCAGGCCTTGGGACAGGAAGGTCTCCATGCGGCGCAGCTGAGGCGGCATCAGCCCCTCCTGCACCTCCCACACGCGATAGCTCAGGCAGCCCTCGCCATCGGGGCTGCGAGCCATGGGTCAGGAGCACGAGGTCAGGTGGCAGGGAGCGCAGCCGGTGGGGCGCCAGCAGCTGGAGGGCGGTGCAGCCTGCCAGAGCCGGCAGAGCAGCACCTGCATGCAGTTGCGCTGTGCAGCGTCAGCTGCAGCTGGCTGCTCGTGGCTGTGTGCTGAACCGCTGTGGTGGTGATGGTCAGAGGAGACAGCAGGTTGGAGATGAGGACCGACTTGCCCACGCCGGGGTCGCCCACCTGCGAGACAAGGCGGGCACAGCAGGCAGGCAGGCAGGCGGGAGGTCAATGTTGACGGGGGAGAATGGCAGGAGCGCAGCATGCTCAGCAGCAGGACAAGGAAAGTCGGAGAGCAGGTGAATAGCCAGTGGGCAAAATGAGGAGGGGCCTCGAAGCTTCAGGGCAGCTCACCACCATGAGGTTGAGGTGCTGCGGCAGCGGCGGCGCGGGAGGTGGCGCCAGGTCAGCGCCGCTGGCCACTTGCCTGATGATCTCTGCAGGTGACAGGGTGTGGCGGCATCGTGGGGTGAGGAGGCGGCATGACAGGGGCGGCGGCTCAGCCACAGCTCGCGGAGTCGCGGTGAGCCCACACATGGCGCGCCTGCTTTCTGGGCCGCCAGCCTGAAGGCCTGCGAGCAGCTCGAGGCGCCGGCTGTGCTGGCACTGTCGCCTGCCGAGCTGCCGTGCGGGTCGGCGAGGGTTTCACAGCCGCCAGCCGCCGCGTCAGTGGGCTGCCACAGCCTGCCGGCCACGCCGGCGGCTGCTGCGGCCCGGAACCAGCGCTGAGATGCCAGCTGGGCGGCACCAGGCGGCGCATGGTCGGAGGATGGCACAGCTGGCGGGCGATTGCGTGCGCCGCCACGGCGCCTACCGCCCAGCGCGAGAGGCGGCATGCTGCACTCGGTGTCGAGGCTGGGCAGCGGGCTGGTTGCGGTGCTGTGGGTGTCACCGTCTGTCAGGCCTGGCGGCGGGCTGCTGGCGCTGCTCTCGGCATCGTCGTCTTCCAGGCTGGCGCTGGCGGTGCTGCTGCTGGCGCTGCCGCCACCGGTGCCTGCACAGCAGGGGGAGGCGGCAGAGCGGTCAAACAAGGCCCGCACGCTTCGCTCTTGCCAGCTAGGTTGACGGGGCAAGCGCCGACAGGCAGCACCCTGGCTGCACACATTTTGGCAGCCCAGCGAGGGCAGACCAGGCGCAGCGCCTCGCCTCCTGCCGGTCCACCCGCCGACTCGGCGGCGGCGGCGCTGGCGTCAGGGCCAGCTGCCGCTGCCGCCTCGCCGCTCCCGGCAGGCTGCTCGCCAGGCAGCGGGCCGCTTGGGGCGCAGGCAAACAGCAGCACGGTGCTGCCCTCGCTGCCAGCCGCCGCCAGACGCCGGTCGCTCAGATCGGCGGCATCGGAGGCCGAGGCGGGTGCGCCAGCTGCGTGCCGTGGCGGGCTTTCGGCTGCATCAGGGAGCCTCGCCACAAGCCAGCAAGTTGCCACAGGCGAGCAGATAGGGTTCGCAGGCAGCATAGAGGCAACATAGCTTGGGCAGTGTCGGCTGAGCATCGCGAGCTGCCCAGCTGCGTGTGAGCATGCTCACCATTCACCACATCCCAGCCCTCCTCTGCGTCCATTCCCGTCCTCTGCCTGCCTTGGAAGCCGCAGAGCTGGGTGCAGGAGCCCAAACCCTAGGCCTGAGCAACCTCGCTGGCCCCTGAAACCTGCGGGGAGAGCAGAAGGCACAGGGCGAGAGCAGCTCGAAGAAGGGCACAACTGCTGACAAGGCATGTGAAAAGTCAAGTTCCGCCGTTTGCTCTCTCTGTTTGCCCTCTTTTCCAGCCGTGTTGCCCTCTTTTCAATCCTTGCAGCATGCTGTGCCGCCTGGAGGAGCACCCGGCACTGCCGGTTGCCAGCGGCGCCGAAGCCGCGCCAGACCAACTGTACGAGGAGGAGCTGCATCAGCGCGGCCCGCTGACGCCCCAGCAAGGTTTGTTGCTCAGGGGGGCGGTGCCAACACCGCCATGCGCCTCCACCGCCCCTTCTGCCTCTGCCCCATGCATGCGCAGGCAGCCCGGCAGCCAGGGCCGGCCCGTCGCCAAGTGCCACCCGGGTGGAGCTGCCGTGCGGGAGCACCATCTGCCTGCCCCTCGACCACGATGGCTCTGCGCCTCGGGTGGTGCACCACGCGTGCAAGGTGGAGGATAGCCGTGCAAGGCCCGCAGGTTGCTGGGCGCGCAGGTCCCCCCGTGCCCTCTCAGCGCTGGCGTGCCATTGGGGCCGGGATTGTGACCACCCTGCTTGCCTCTGTGCCTCCCGCATCCGTGCCCCGCCGCAGCTGCTGCTGAGGAGCCCGCAAGACCAAGTCGTGCTGCTGCATGTGGCGCAGAAGGGGCACCCGCAGGGCAGCGGCACGCTGAGCCAGCGCATCAGCGGCACCAGCAGCGCCGGCACGCTGAGCCTTGGCGACTCAGAGCACCACGTCACAGCCCCAGCAGGAAGCTGGGCGACGCCGGTGGCAGCACCACCCGCGCCGCCGGAAGCAGGCGGGGAGCCTGGAAGCCGCCTGGCGAGCAGCTCTGGCCTGGGAGGGTTGGGCAGCCCAGCTGGCGGCAGCCTGGATGCTGGCAGCCAGTGGGGCAGCGGCGGCAGCTTCTCACAGCTGCGTTCCCCCCGCCACCACCAGCGCGACGAGGGCTGTACTGAGCTGCTGGAGCGATGCCGGCAGCAGCTGCTGGCAGAAAGCAAGAGGTGAGGCGGGCAGCCTGCATGGGCCGCCCATCTGCGAGTGCCCACACAGTGCTTGATGCACGCAGTCTGCCTGGGCCTGCAACCACGCAGGGTGCACCCGAGCAACGTCAGCCTGCAGCTGATGCTTGCGAGGCGGAGCCCGGAGAAGGCCATCGTCACATACTGCTCACAGGCGAGCTGCTGCTGCAAATCCATCCAGGCCTGCCGCAACGCTTGCCCACCTGAGTAGGAGTCCCTTGCAGCTGCTGTCGTCCACTGCCGAGGCTTGGCCTGCTCCCACACTGGTTCGCGCAGGAGCGCCCTGGCATTCTGGTGATGGGGCAGAGCAGAGTGGGAGCAGGTGCGGTCGTACCTTCGCTGTGGCGCGCCGGCGGTGCCCCTGGACCGCCATGACGCCTTCGCCTGCTTCTTCAACCGAGTGCTCGACTGTTTTTACCAGCCTCGCTGCCAACATGTCTACCTGCCCCGCCTTGACTGCAGCTGGCGATAGAAGTGGACGCCGTCCTCAGCGCAGCGGGCATCTCCGATGATCGCGAAGGCATGGCAGCCATCGCCCGCGCCTCCAACGCCAAACTGGCTGCCAGCCACGACCGCTTGGCCGCGCACAGTCGAGGCGATGGTGGCGTGCGGCTGCTGCCCCACCCGCTGCCGCACCCTCCCCGTGTCCGATGTCTTTAGGGACATCCTCACCCTCCGCGCGTCCCCATTCCAACATCTTGCCACTGGAGCACCCCGACTGGGCACGTCTCTTGGAGCCGCAGGGCAATGGCAGGTGGGCGGATTCTTGGGCCTGGCATCAGCACGCTGGGTGGCTGTTTGTGCTGTATGCATCTCTGCTGCTATCTGTGTCAGCTGAGCGGCATCAGCGGTGCATGCACGACGAAGCAGCTCTCTGCTGCACCGGCCAGGCTGTGCTCAGTAACAGCTGTTGCGTCGCTTCGTCGCTGCTGCTGCTGCTGCTGTTGATACTTATCATTGATGTGCGTCTTCACCTCTCTCTTTGGTCCCCTGCAGATGGCTGAACAGGCAGCGCAGCACGAGCCCCAGGGCCTGCAGTCCGGTGAGCCTCACCTCCTACCCGCCCGCCTTCAGCGCTGTGCCCCGCACGCTGCGGCTGGCAGGGGACCGCGACTCCTCTGCGCAGCGGCCGCTGCAGCTGCCTCCGACGCACAAGCATCGCCTGCTGGCCTGGTCGTGCTGACGCCTGATGTGCTGCTGCACGTGCTGGGCATTCCTTCGGGCGGGACAGCAAGGCGTAGTGCTGGGCATGGCTGCGTACCCGCCGTCGGCCTGGCGCCTTGTGCCCGTTGCCGACCCCATGTGGCAGGCGCTGACTGAGGCCTAGGCACGGCTGGCACTGCCGCCGCGACCCGTGCAGCAGCGGCGTGTGCACGCGCAACAGTGCTCTGCCCACCTCTGTACCCTTGCCCATATCGCATTGAACCCACCACCCCTGCCCCCAAAGACCCACGCTCCACTTACCTCCAGCCGCCAGCAGCACTCCACCCATCCAGGTTGACCTGCTGTGCCTCCCCCTTAAGATCACAATGCCTGACACATTGCTTACCCTTCGTCGAACTTCATTTGTCAAGTGAAGAAAGGTATGGCGACAGGACAGGTGACGCCGCCCACATGGTGAGCATGCCTGCTCCTCTCCTGCTCCTCCCCTGGCTCCCTCTTCTGTGCAGCTCTCCCTGCACTACAACCTGGTGATCGAGGCGTGCACTGCTGTCTGGCGTTCTGCTGTCTGGAAACGAGTGCCTTGGACGCGTGGTAAGGCGAGTGGATCCGGATGGGGGCAGCAGGCACCAGCAGGCAGGCTCAGCAGGGGGCAGAGAAGCGACCAGGGATTGGTCGGGAGACAAGCGGCGCCTCCAGGCCCCTGCCCAGGCTCCCTGCCCTCCCCAGGGCCATGCTCTGCCTTGGACGCCGCCCATGCCCGCACAGAGGCTGTCAGCCTGCCGCTCTGCCTCGCCGCGCCGGCGTTCGCGCTGTCGCCTGCTCCATGCTTCGTGCCTCTGTCGGGCGCCCAAGCACGGCCGCAGATGGTAGGTGGCAGCAGCTGGGGGCGCTCAGGTTTTGGGGTTGGGCTGTTGAAGGTCACCTGCGGCGTAGCGGCATGGGTGGGAGTCAAGCAGCTTTGTTTTGCCTGTGGTCTTCATCGCCAGCACTCTTTCGCCTTACTCCCACCCCACCACCTCCTGGTCTCGCCCCTGCAGGCACCAGCCTGGCACCCCACAGCGTGCAGCAGCTGTGCCGCCGCTCCGGGCCGCGTCGGTGCCTGGGAGCAAGCACCGGCGGCAGCAGCGACGGCGGCAGCCCGCCCGAGCCACCCATGGCAGGCGAGCCTGAGCCTGGCGGCGGCACAGGCGTGCCGCTGGCGCAGCGGGCAGCCACACTGGTCGCGACTCTGGCGCATTCGCTGGCAGCAGCCATCGACATGGCCCCGGCAGTGCTGCCATGGGTGCTGCCATGGGTGCTTGCCATCTATGTGTGGCAGGCACTAGCAGGGCCACTTGCAGCCAAGCCGGCAGTGCTGCTGGGTGCGGCAGTCGTGCTGCTGGGTGCGCTGCTGCTGGCAGCAATGTTGTGGATAATGTGGGCAACATTCGGAGTGCTGCAGCGCAGCCTGACGTTTGACGCAGCATTCGCTGCGCAGGTGGCTGCGCTGCAGGTCAGCTGTGGGGCCAACGGTTTGTGGCAATCTCCAGCATGGGACTGCCTGGCAGCTTGGCATGCCGCACGGCCCAGGTGGTGCATGGGAGTCGACCACTTGCCCTCCCTCGGCAAACCATTTCCCGCACGCCCAAACTCCCCCTGACCCAGCTCCTCTCCCTCGCCCTTCTCCCTCGTCTTCCTCGCTCCCCACCTGCTGCAGGCCTCCTCGCCCCTGGAAGCTGCAAGGGAAGCCGTTGCAGAGCAGGTTTACTCTAGGCAAACACGCTTCCGGCAGGTAGCGCTGTTGTTTTTGCAAGTATTTGTGTCTTGGAATCTTGTGGTCGGTGCATGCCGCTTTGCGATACGATGCAGCCTGCCATTCCCCGCCTCTCTTGTCAAGCAAATCGATGTGCTGTTCACAATCGTTTTGGGGGTAGCTGCCTCCAAATGCTGCGAGGAGGCGTGGGAGGCCTGGTCAGCCAAGTTCAAGTACTCCAAGCTAGTTGGAGATTTAACTGACAGGGGCGGCAGCGGCGGCAGCGGCACCGCCACTTGGCGCAGCTAGCTGCCTGAGGGAGGGGCGGCTGCCTGCAGGACCTATTCCCTATTAGACAGAGAAAAAGCCCCAGCACCTGTTACCTGAACTACTCTGATGCTGTCTTTCACCCTCCCCCATTCTATCTTTTTGCGTTTTGTGTTTACAGGCTCCATAAGTATGTACTTGTGTTAGGGGCACTCAGGTGGCCTGGCACATGCTGGAACAGGGTGCAAGTCGGATGGGGTGGGGCAGGCCCAGGGGGCGGCTGCCCGGCAGGAGCGGCGGTACGGACCGCTGTTAGGCCCAACTGGCACGGTAGTGTATCTACCAGGGTAGCAGGCAAGTTTCTTACACGGTGTTGACACTGCCCTGCCGGTCGCCAACTTGCACAGCCAAGGGTTTCCCACCTGCCCCACGTCTCCTTGCGGATGCTGGAGCGGTTTCCTCAATGTGGGCGTGACTGCCACAAAGCGCGCGGCGATGGCCTGACACAGGTGCAGGCGCGGGTTGCATCCCACCACCTGCAGGTCTAAAGGAAGGAAGGCAGACGCCCAGTCAGCAGCGGCGCAAGGAGGCCATGTGCAAAGCGCAGCAAGGACGGCGGCTGCGCTTATGCGCGTTGGCACATGCCCTGCTGTGCTCCTTGGTGCTGACTCCTCCCCAGTTGCCTGCAACTGGCCCCGCTGCTCACCTGCTGAAGTACGCACGCTGCACCACAGAAGCGAGAGCTCCTCGCCGGCAGCCAGCTCCTCCTGGGACCAGGCGTGGTGGCGTTGCATGATCTATGGCAGCGTCCGCTGGTCTTGCTGGAGCCCCTTGACCTGCACCTCAAGCTGCTGGCAACCCCTGCAGCAGGGGGGAGGGTGGGGGGGGGGGGGACCAGTGCAGGCTGGTGCCTCCAGTCAACGCTGATGGCGTACTGGAATGACGCAGTCAGGGCATGTGGCCACAGGATGTGGTCAGAGTATGGTGGCTGCGCCATGGTCGCAGGCCCAGGCGCAGCACATGCTCCAACGACAGGGGGCAGAGTGTGATGGACAGAGGACATGCAGGACACGGCCTCACAAGCGGATCCCATGCACAGCACCAGGGGTGCTGAATTCTGCTGCCACACCTGGGACCGAGGACACGAAGGTGATGAAGCCCAGGGCCACCTTCGCAGAACCGCGGGTTCCCAGGATGGCAAAATAGTCGTCGAAGCTATGCGGGGGTTGGAGTGGCGCCGCCGCTTCTCCAGCGACCACGCGAAGCGCACCTGCCATCGCCTCACGGTGGTGTGGTGCAGACGCGTTCTCAAACCACCCCCACGCCCTCAGGTCCCCCATGCACCTACCCAGTCTGCGTAAAAATTTGTGTATGCATCCAGCCACCCAACTCGTATTTCCGCAAGCCACTCAGAGGGCGTGTGGCTGCCGAGCCGACAGCACCGCCGGGCGGTGGCGGGTGCGGCAGGCGGCAGGCGGCGCCGCGCTCCGAGCGCTCTCCACCTGAATCGCATCCTCGGCACCCTCCAGCTTGTCTGCGGGCACCACGGGCACCCTGGGGCTGCGCTCGAGGGGCATTTGCCACGCGGCCCGGCAGCCGGCGCGCCCGTTCCAGCATCTGCACAAGGCTCTGTACTTCAGGATTAAACTGTCGGACCTGCGAGCGGCAGTGTGCATGGGCGGGCCACGCGGAGCACGGGCTGCACGTCAGCGCCCTGTGCGGGCCTCAATCTACTTGTCCCGCGGTGGGGAACCGGCCACATCCCTGCTGCCGGGCCGTCGAGACGTCGCGGAGCTCACCAGTGCAAGTCCGCCCATTGACCGCCCCACGATGGGCTGTAGTTCGCCCTGGCCGTCGGCAGACGACCTGCAATTTCCCGGTTCAAGGTTCCGGCGGCGGTGTGGGCGGCGGCGGTGATGGGCGGCGGAGTCATGGGCGGGTGCCGCCGCCACTAGCGGGCAGCACTGCACCCACGCTGGCACCTGCCGGCGGCAAGAGATGAAGGCCAATGGTTGTAGCGGCGGCATATTTGATCCACGGGCGGCAGGCAGGCGAAGGCGAGGATGGGTCTGATGCAGGTGAGGGGCGAGGCATTAGCGGCGGGCTGAGTGCGGCGCCATGGCGTGTGCAGTAGGGCAGCGATCAGTTGTGCGCCTCACCCGTGCCTCTTTCCCGAGACTGGTGGGTGCTGAAAGATATATTGGGTGCAAGGTCGAGGCAGGTGATGCTTTCTGGGCGTTTGAGCTGTGGGTGCTGGCGGCCCACCCGCTAACACACCCCTTGTGGCTCCCTGGTCTGCAGCTGTTTCAAGCTCCCTGACCCCATTGCTACAGCTGCCTGGAAGCACACGCTTGGGAAGTGAGTTTGGGGTGGACAGGGCAACGCATGAGGTCAGACAGGGCAGGGTTTGCACCACATTGTCAGCGCCTTGGGAGCTGGGTAAACCGCCTGCCCGGCCTCGCCTGTTGCTCTTGCACTTTTGCAGCGCCAGGGGCAGCAGCAACAGCAGCACAGCGCTTGTCTCCTTCTGCTGCCGCCTGCCTGCGTGAAGCCTGGTCACATTGCCTACTTGCCTGCTTGTCGTCCAGGTGCATGATGCGATGCTGATGGCAGATGGCCCTGTAGCAGGTGCGTGGCTGTCACTGCATCTGCTTGGAGGAGGCGCTGCCACTGGTAGTGGGGAGCAGGTGCTGCTACCGATGGCTCTGCTCAGCCTTCGCGAAGGGCATCTGTTTGCGCTGTTGGAGAGCGCCGGGCTGTTGCTGCCGTGGCTGCGGTTGCCTGAGATGGCATTCCATTGCTCACAGGGCTCGCCCGCCTGCCTGCCCTCGGTGGCACGCTGCAGGCGCATGCCAAGAGCATCTCTGAAGGCGCTGGCGTAGGCTGCAGCACGGCGGCGGCAGTGTCAGCGTGCACGGGGCACGCAGGGTGGCCCGCTGCTGGCTCTGCCCCGACCATGTGAGTCACAAGGCGAGCACGGCCACCAGCTGATGGGCCGCCGCCCCGTTAATGTTTGCGTCAGAGTCCCATGCAAACACTCGCTCAATTCTGCGGCTGCCCTGTCTGTACCCTTGCTGTGCTGTGATCCCCCCTTGTCCTTGGGCATCAAGGGATATTCCAACCTCAAAACACCTGGATTGTTTATGCCCCACTTGAAACTGTTTCCCCTGCTGCTCTCTGTCTTCATGTTTCCCCCGCCCTGGAAACTATTTTCCTGCTGTTGGTTTCTTCGTCTGTGGCTAAGCTAGAAACCAGCGCAACTTTTTCCAGGTTGAGTTTCCAGGCTTAGAACCTCTGTCATGTTTAGCAGGGGGTGGCGCGCCTGGCAATGCACAACTGCCGGGCGCGCTGTGCGGAGGGGGGCATTGAGGCGGCGCCAGTGCACCTGCCCTGGCAGTCGCTCCGCCATGACCCACCCCTCCCTCCCCACCACCACCGGTTTGTTTTCAGCTGCAGCCTTTGCTCTACATCACAGTTTGCATCCAGTTTGCCAGCAATACACACTGCCAGCCCAGCGCCTGTCAGCTGACCTGCTTTACATGCTGCCGTTTCAGCCCCACCCAATTCTATAGTAAGTCTGTGCTGCAAGTTTGCTTTTGCCGCTCTTGCTAATACGGACTGTAAACCCTCTCAAGCAAGCAGCCGGCATCTCGCTGTCCATGTCCACCAGCCAGCAACGCCGTGGCCACCGCAAGCTGCTCCGCCGACCCTCGCTGAAATTGCCGCTGCTGTGGGGGCTGTTGATGCTTCAACGTACGCAGCATTGCAGCATGCACGGGCCGTGCCTGCCTGTCTCCGGCTGTGCAAATGGTGTGTCTTCAGGCTGTCGTGGCATTGGCGCTTGCTCGCCGGCCGGCGTGCCCTTCTCCTCCCCTGCGATACCATGGCTGGCGGTGTTCCTTGGGCCAGCATCAGACAGGTTCTTTCCAATAACACTCCTCATGCAGCTTCGTCTGATGCGCTCCAAATGGATACGTGCGCAACCCATGTCTTCTGTGCATGCTGGCAAGTCGGTTACATGTGAACAAATCGGTATGTGCAGACGTCTGCAGGAGAAAAGAACGCAATTGCGTGGTATGCGAAGTGGATGAGGGGATGGGGGCTGCAAAGAGCAGCTGCAGCTTGCAAAACACAAGGCAGCTGCCAAGGCAGTTGACATGTTGATGAGTGAGGATGCGAGCAGGGACATGCAAGCCAGGAGTGCAAAGCAGAGGATTTGAAGAGGGTCAATGCCGGCTGAGCTCTGAGGGAATGGGAATGAATGCGGGGGCGTGCTGACCCAGCTTGCGAGGCAGCCGCAGCTGCCCACGACCCTTCCATCCGAGTTGTGTGCCGAGGTCGTGGCGCATGTGCCGAAGTCACAGCGCAGGCTCGCCGGCCTCACTGTCAAGGGCGGGGTGAGATGACAGCGCTCGAAGCTTCCGCGCCGGCCAGAGAGCCGTGGCCCGGAGCTGTGAGCGCAAGCCGGCATTGCGCAAGGATGTACATGTGAACAGCGGAGCTGCAGAGCAGGGGGTAACATTCCTGCACGGGGTGAGGAACAAGCAAACAACTTGAAGGGAAAACTGACGGAGGCGGCGTGCACTTCACAATGCTTGGAAATGCAGGGTGCACACAAGAAGAGGGGCGGTGAGGGCGGGGCCGCCCAGCCACCACAGCCTGAACGCAAACGCAGCAGGGGCAGCTCGGGAGCGAGCGCTGGGAGCACTGCCAGCGAGAACCAGCAGCGCCAGGTTTCCCTCGCAAAAACACTGTCTCTCCTATGCATCCTCCCTCTGCACTCCCCTCCACCCACCTGTGCTCTCGGTCGCCGCAGTTCATTGCATCAGCCGGACCAGGACGACACAAAAGAGAAACCCGCAGCCACGGTAGAAGTCACCGCACATGAAGCACACGATGGCCATGAAAAGGGAGATGGGCTCAACCAGCTGCTTGACTGGCCGCATATCAGGCAGTTGATGATCCAGTTCCGGCACCTTGCGTCTGGCATACACAGAGCGCGGCGGTGTGCCGTGCGCGCCCGCCTGTGCGGGGGCGCACTGAGCGGGCGACACCCCCTCGGGCGGGGGCGCCGCCGCAGCCGAGCGAAGCAGGCGGGCGTTGCGTGGCGGTAGGCAGCCTGCAAGAGTGCAGACAACAGGAAGGATCCTGGTTTATTGGAGGAGAACTTAGGGCGGGCAAAAACTCAAGGACCCTCGGCTCAAGGTGGGCAACATCCCACCTGCGCCTCGGAGGCCGGCCGTGCGGGGGTGCCCAGCAATGTGCGCGGGGTGGAAGCGGAGCGCTGCGTTGGTGACCGAGACCGACATCGCTACCGGCTTGCGGCGTGCCTGAGGCCGCTCCTGGATTGTGAACGACACCGGCAGCTTCAAAACGCGGCAAGTATGCAAAACAGGGCACCAAATCTGGAATTGCCTGCCAACTACAATGGCGTCGGCACCGCCGCCAGCGAGTCATGCAGATCGTGCCGCTCCAGGACTATGTGCAGTTCAACGATTCATTCAACTGACAGCGAGTGAACTGGTGCCCATCTCACAGCTTCAAACTGGCCGCGCTCTGCGCCCCAACCTCTATCCACGCCTTTGTCGGGGAACGGTTCCGCCCCGCTGCTGGGCTTAGCATGTGGATTGTGGTGGGACCACATGTGCATGGGCTGCCTCCAGACTGTCAATTTTCCTGCCCCTTTCTTCGCGCAGGCTTCCATCCGGACGTCACTGCCGAAGCTGGCGTGCAACCCTCCTCCATGTACTGAGGGAACACGTGGCGGCACCGCCCTCGCCGCCGGAAGACCAGACGGGAGAGCTTGGCAGCCACCTGGCGAGCCGCTGTGGCCTGGCCTCGGTGTCGGCACTCCAGCTGGCAGCAGCCTGGATGCAGTCAGCCTGTGGGGCAGCGGTTCTATGCTGGGTGGCCCCAGGCCACCTGCAATGCGGCGTGGGCTATGCTGAGCTGCTGCATCTGATGCCGTCGAAGCGGAGCCCTGAGAAGGCTTTCATCCCAATACGGCTCACATGCGAGCTGCTGCTGCTGTTCGTCCAGGCCTGCGGCAACGCTTCCCAAACCCCGGGATCCCCACCTGTTTAGGCAAACCCTTGAAGCTGCTGGTGTCCTCTCAGTGGCAGGCGTTGAATGGAAAGCAGGCGCTGCGTTGCCTCGTGAGCATGTCAATCGCTGAGGCGGCAGCATGCCGCTCCCGCCCCAGCGTGCATAGCGGGCAACACTTGTTTGTAGCAATCAGGCTTGGCGCGGTCATTTCCCGCTATCCCTGCATGCGATGGATGCAACTTCAAACGATCTGGAGGTTCTGGCCGCGAGCCTGGCGTCCCCCGCCTCCTCGCCCAGGGGCGAGCACGAGCTCGGGCGGCTGGCCGAGGCTTTCCTGGATCGTTCAGACGGCGCTGAGCTGGGAGTGGGCTCCCAGGCGCAGCTCGTCAGGTGGGCCCGTGACTGGCGGCCATTGCGAAAGGCGGGGCGGGAAGGCGAAACCAAACCCGAAACCTCACCATTTGTCCTGCCCAAACTCATGGCACGCTGTGCAGCAAGGTAAGGGAAGTATCTCAGGCACTGAAGGCGCTGG